TATAATCCCGTGCGCCTTATAGTGCGGAAAATACGGTAATCATCTCCATATCCTTCAGATTTAATTTGAGTCTCAAAATGAATTACAGAGAAAAGAGAAAACGTATGTTCTAAAGGATAGTATTTTAGAAAAATGCTAACAAAATGTTATAAAATTAAACAGTTAAATTTTTATCTGCCATACATTAACTCACTTTATCAAAAAGAAAAAAAAAACATGTTTTTTCCAGCAGATCCTTCTCTCTGCCATGTTTGATGCAAGTTTTACATTTTACTAATTTACCAAAAGAAAAACCAAGGTAAATATCTTTGTTTTGATTTGAAGTTGCTCCCAAACTTTTTGCTCCTCTGACATGATTAACAAACTTCTCACAAAAAATAAAGATCTGGAAAACTAATGAGTGTGGGTCAGAATCACAACCTTTTCTAACGTTCCGTCACAAGAAATGATTTTGTTAGTTTCAAAGATGCAGTTCACTCAAATTACAGCAACAAATAAATAATTAAAAAGTAAACCTTCTCTGAAGCAAAAAAAAAAAAAAACAGCTAATCATTTACTTTGACAATCACTTTTTCTTTAACCTTTATATGTTTCAGTGTGAAACATTGTGATTACAACTTTTATGACAAACAATCGACAGATGACTGAAGTTGTAATCCGCGGCCATTAATTATCGCCAACAGCTTGGTTGTGTGATTAAATTTGATTAGTCAAAGAGGCTCATGATGTATTCCCTTCTTGTGCCAGATGTCTTAATAATTACAGTTACTCTGGTTCCAAACTTGTGCCGAGGCAATTAACAGCTATGCAGGTGTCTTCTGCTGCTTGGACTGCTGCCCAGATGTATGCCTCTCTTCAGGATTTGGTCAGATTAGTGCCATATGTGAGAGAAATGGTGGGTTGTGGAGTTAGCGGTTTATATTCATAAGGGTTCCCAGCAGGTTGGTTTCTTAAAATGTGTTTTTATCTTTCGCGGAAGTGCATTTCAAAGAGGATTTAGAAGAAATTAAATGAATTCTCCCTCACTTCCTTTACAGGTCTGCAGAGACTGGCGTGTATTTTACCATACATATATAACTTTAAAAAAAAAAAAAAAAAATGTGGGATTTATTGAAGAATTTTAATTAAATTGAATTAAAAAATACCTTACTAACAGCAAAGGAATGTTAAATGTTGTTGTAGCTCAACATTTAACAAATATCTTCCAGAAACATGTGGACGATGATGAAGCAGTGAAGAAGACACATTTTCTTCATACATGACTCATTTACTTCTGCCACTCCTTTTTAAGTCTCTGACCGTGTGGTCAGAAAGCCGGGCAGAGAAATGGAGTCAGGATTATCATCTCTGCCTGTTACGATGAACAGAAGAGATGTTTGAACTTCTCTTTGGCCCTGCTCCGCATCCATGAAGCCTCTTTTTCAACTCTGGTCATAGTTGAGCTTTGGAAATGTAAAGCAGCTTCTCCTGGTTGTAAAAAAAATAAAAAAATAAAGCAGCTTGTCACCATAGTTACACATGGTAACTACTACTGTTGAAAAGTTTAAAAAAGGGTAAATCCTTCCAGCTGCGCAGCTTCCAAAGCCAGAAGGAATAATTGTCCCAAAAAGAAGCAATGCCTCAACTAAAAAAAAAAAAAAAAAAAAAACATGATGCATTAACTTCATTGCAATATATTATATAAACAAAAGTGGCTGCACAATTTAAAATGTATTGTTGATTATTTGCATTTCCCCCTCATTAATACTTGGTGAATGTTCTTTATCAAGTTGCAAAGAGACCGCACACTTTCTGCATCACCAGGCTTTCCAGCTGGATATTTACACGCTCTGGTGGAATGGTAGAATTAGTTTGAATTCGCTGGTCTCTTGGCATAGACCTGGGTTTTAATCACAAAGCCTGAATATTAAATGGGGTTGCTGTATAGCCCATTGCAGAAAGCTTAGTGCTGCTTTATGTCATCCACTCCAAAACCACACATTTGATGCGTCTCTGGGATCATTATCATGTTGGAAGATCCTGTGATCTTCTAGCCAGCCAGCTGGGGGATTTAAAGTTTTTAAAAAATATATTGGTTAGTAATTCACAATATCTAATGCATCAGTGTCACTGCAAGCAAAACAGTCTCACATGTTTAAGTTTTAACCATCTGATAAAAACCGTCAAACACAAGGGAAAGACAGCTGTTTGGGATGTTCAAGAACCAACCAGAAATCCAGATGCGCAATTTCTAATGTCTCTATTGGCAGTTAAAGCTGTTTTACATCTGCTTGGACTGAGAAGAAGTTGGTCAATTCAGAAGTCCTCTCTCTGGAACCAACACCAACTAAAATTTGCAGATCCTTTTAAGCTAAACTGAAAATCGTGAAGAGAAACATGATAGTCAAACTGAGTCTCGGGTCGTTTTTGCCACCATGAGAAGGATTACATGTGGAGAAGTCAAGGTGATACATTCAAACCTAAGAAAACTGAACTGTCAAGCATGGTGATGGAAGCATCATGCAATGGGACTTTACACGCTGTAATGACGCCGTCACTGATGAGTTCTACATAACGGCTGGAAAAATAAAGAAAGAGCGACTGGATGGCTGAAACTTAGACACTCCTGGTTGTTTGCACAGCAAAAGTAGTTTGGAAAGGACTCAGTTGTACTGAAAATGTAAAAATCAGTGTTTAAAAGCTGGGTCCTGTGTCAGGAAAAACGATTTGCATGAAAGAAAAAGAGTGACAAACATTCCAGCCAAAGTTAAATCAGAGGCTTAATTACTACAAAATACACATGGTTGAGGTCTTACAATTCTTCTTCCAGGGTAGAATTAGAATCATTTTGCAACTTACAACTGTGAATGTTTACATCATTAAAATATATCACTCATATCTATGATCGACATGTGACAGGACAGTGTAGGACACGTTGCTGTGTGGGGATTTAGTTTCCTTGAACATTTGCGAGTCGCTGCAGCCTTTTGCAGCCCGGGATTTATATTTACTGACGATACACATCGCTGAGGAACAAACGGGCGATGGAAACGCTCTGAAATGTTTATCTTCATTTGCTGATCTTAATCTGTGCAAATTTGCGGCAGAGCAAACAAAGGGGAAACTTGCTGCAAACACGGCTTGATGTTCCGCTGCAGTCGCCGTCGGTGGGCGCTGGAGGGGGGGAGGGGTGTTTGGAAAGAAAAGCAAAGAAAAAGACAGCGACTAATCAAAACAAATGCAATGCATTAGTTTACAAGTGCACAGGCCTTGGCCTGGACGCAAGATGTCTCAGCCCAATGACTTCCTCATTTAAATTATGACCGGGCCGAACAACACCAGTTAGGACCACGACCAAGTAGCAAAACAAGTCAAAGACATTTGCCTAACTAGCAAATGTTTCCTATTATTTTCTTTTCTTTTTTTTTTTTAATGTTTCCCATGCAGCCGTTTATAACAACTTTCTTAAACTCTCATGAATATCTGAAGAAAAAGAAGCCCCATGTTAAAAGAAGCATAATAATCATATGCCGTTGCGAGGCTAAGTGATTTAGTGACTTTGAGCCCTTTCACACTTTATTCTCTTTAAAAAAAAATGAAGCTGATTAATAGTGGTGGTGGGAGGCACATGGCGCAGCATATTTCTCTCCCTGCACAGCCTATTCTTTGATGTTGTTGTTTTTGTATGTTGCACCTCCCAATCATTTGAATATCACACGCAGAGGGGGCTCCTACTCGGCCACTCGCTGCGCCTTTGTTGCCGTGATTAAAGCAGGTGTCGCGCAGGGTTGTGTTTGTTAATGACAGTTCGCATTTAAATAGCTGTCACTCGTCTGTCAAGGGGAGGGAAGGAGAGGGAAATGTTTGTTCCTGGGCCTCCAATGTACTCAGAAATGCATCTCTTTTACATAAGCTTAACCTAGCTTTGCAAATGAGGCGGCAAAAGTTTTACAGGAGTTTACCTGTTTAAAAAAAAAAAAAAAAAAAAAAGACTCTCCAAAGATGCTGGCGAGTGATGAAAGTCCAAACTTGCAGAACGAAGGCAAAGTGCAAGCTAACCCAGTTGAAAGTGTTGACTTGTAAGTACTTGATTGCACGATTAGGAAGTGTGTGTATGTTTTATTAATGTACATTTCTATTGCACAACATGGACAACCTTTAAAAAAAAAAAACATGGTGCAGCCAAACAGAGTAAAAAGTTGCTATACAGGAATTAAAAGCTTTAAAAGTAGAAATTAGTAAAAGCAAACCTACTTGGATATAGATGCGTTATGGGATCTGGTTTGGTTTTCGCCTGGCACAACATGTTAGGACTTCTGTTGCCAATTATCTTAAAAAAAAAAAAAAGAAAAAAAAAAAAGAAAACATGCATTTAGTGTCAACACATGCAGCCATGTTTAAAATAATAGCAGTCCAGTATCATTATCCCCTGTTGAGGTACAAAATATACATTTCTACACTGAATAATTTTTAGGTATAGCAAAGTATTAGAAAAAAACAGCAGACTCAACAAAAACGACATCAGTTTGGCAATTCAGTTATTAACAGTTCAAAATACGGACAGTATGCAGTTTAATCAACTCGGTTCTGTGAAAAAAAGCAGCTGTTCTTCTTTTAGGTTGGAGGTAGTAAATATTTTGCTGGTTGCAGAGCATTTCTCACTAAATGTCTGAGCACAGCAGCTCATTCCAGACATTGTTCAGAAGAACAGCACAGTGCGCTGAAACAAGGGCACAAAGTGAAAATCTGCTCTGTGAAGATGAAATGTTATGATGAAATTATTCCAAACCCCGGGATGAAGAAAATTCACAAGCGTCATTCAAATGGATGCAAGAATGGAAAATATGGCAAAGAGCAATGCTTAGCACTGGGTTATGAAACATGTTTTCATCTGTATTGTTACAATTAAAACACCGTCACGTGAAACAAAGCTATCAACAAGGGTTATTATGCAGTCTCAGGTAAACTCTGCCATTTTTTAAAACAATCACATAACTACGTTGCCTTTAATTGTTATAAAAATGCTGTATATGCACCTCAGTCATGCAGCTGGGATAAACAGTCAGTAGAGTGGCTGGGCTGATCCTCACAGATAAAGAGCTGCATCACCTAGAAGGAGCTTTGACTGGACCTGTTGCGCTGACAGAAGTCAGTCCGGTAGTTTTGGTGTCTGATCAGGATGCCCCACTGTGGAAATACCAGAATTCAACTGTATAATCGATGGAAACACCTAAGGATCATTCTTAATGAGGTTTGGAAGGAAGACATTGAAAAGTTTCTATGGTAATCTCCAACAATGCAATCGCAAAAACAGAATAAACTTCAGGTTGACAATAAGAAAACTAACAAATCAGAATCTTAAGTCGTTTTTCCTGATGGCATTTGTAGAAATAAAATCTCGCTACCATGTTTGAAATTACAACCCTGCTCTCACTGTGCCGTTCTGGTTCTGCTGCAGATTTCTTCCTGTTAAGGGGGAATTTTCATGTTTGTTGTCGCTACATGCATGCTCAACGGGCGGGATCTGTCAACACATGATTGTCCAGGAGCGACTTGCAGCAATCTGCTGGGTTTCCTCATAAACACCCACATATATAAATAAACAAACCGAATTATTTGACGTTAAGAATAATAATCATTTTATTAATTCCAAAAAAGGAATTAATTTACCTTTTTTTTGCAAAGTGCCTGTAGATTACATTTATTTTAAAGAGGATTTATTGGGAATGTTACCCGTTTGTGCCATATTAGCAGCTACATGAATGTCATTTAATCCATAAACACCATTATGCAGTAGCTCATAAGAGCAAGTAGGAAGTGGTTGCATCGACTCATTTGAATACAAGGGAGCTTATAGATCTCTCTTACATAAAGGTACAGCCCCCATGGTTTTATTTATCACCATGCAGACAGTTCTTGTATTTGTGGCTGCCACCAATCCCAGAAGTCAAGATTTAATGTGCTGCAGAGTGTGTCATATTTCCTAAAGTTTGCCTGCATTTTAATACCGCATCTGAAAAACAGAGTGAGGAGGCCCTTAGAGACTGCAGCGTGGCGCCGTGTAGCATCTTTTCAGAGAAAAGTGACAACAAGGAGGCAACATGACATTATTCTCTACACTAAAACAGGTGACATTTGTTAGTTTTGGGTACATATATATGTGTTTTTTCAAAGGAAGGAAGAATAATGTTAAATTATGCCTTTCTGCGAGTATTAAATCTGATCACTTGGTTGCATCCGAATGTGAAGAACAATTGTTCCGTCCTTGAAGCGAATTACATCTTGCATAAAGGGTTTCTGCTCCGTTTTATTGTTTAACTGACCTTGGTGGGTCAAATACAGTCACTTGTTCAGTCATGACTAACTTTCATCATAAAGTTAGTAAAACGAAGTGTAAGGGGGAGAAAATTGCCTTCTGGAAGTAATTAGCCATAATCATGCTGTTCTCTTGCATTTGGTGGCATTAGCTTACCTTCACTCTTAATCAGGCTTTGTTTATAGGCACCCAGGGGCGTTGGAAATTTAAATGCAAGCGCTAAAACTGTTCCATAGATGTCCATACAACAGATTATGGAGCAAAACAGGTGTTCTGAGCAGACATTAGTGCTTGTTGATGACATTAGCATTGCTGCTAGCAAAGAAGTTGAATAGTTGTTTTTTTTTTTTAGTTGTTTTTTTTCCCCAGCTTGACAATGCCATTCGTCATGTGTGCTTAAAGTTGCTTTCTGAAAGAAGAAAACAGATATGCGAGGCTTGACTCTGCCCATCTATTGGTTTACAAATATGTACCCCGGTCAGAATCTAATTCTGTTTATTAGCGCCGAGGAACCAGGTTGCTCATTACGTTCACCTATTGATCGCCTCAGCCTGACAGAAGGGAGATTAGCAGTCAACTTTAAACACCTCAATCAATAATCATCTCCCTAATTGGGTATTAGCAACAAGAAAGTGGACTCGCTTGTCACACAAACGAGGAAAAACGGACGGAAATTCACCATCTTCCAGCACGAGTCTGGTACGTTATTCATCCAAAACATGCCCTTGTGACTTCAAGTTTAAATTAGAGTGCCACCCTAGAACTGTGATGCTTGAGCCGTCGTTGATTTGTCATAATCCTAAACCTTATTGAATTGTGCTGCAAATCTCCAAAGACGGCGCATGTTTGCATTCATTTGCCAGCTTTCTGCAGCACGCTGCTTAAAGATTCACAAGAAGTAATTAATAAATCTGAGACAAAAAGAAATTAATGTCAAATCTCATTTAGGATATTAAAATATATTTCATAACGTGAGAGCGCCACACACAAAAGTGTTTGGAATATAATTCAGAAGGTGTGTCTGCAACAGAAAAAGCACTGCACATCACAAAGTAGAACAAACACACTGTGAAACATGGTAGTGGCAGAATTATGTTGTGGGTTTGATTTTCTTCAGCTGGAAATGTGCTATTATAAATGCTGGAAAGCTTAAGATGAGGAGTCAAAGTCGGCATCCAAATCAGTAAATGGATGGATCTACTGGGAGGAAAGCGGAGTGACAGAAAAACGGCTCTAAAGACGACTGTGGACGTGATATATCATCACATAAATGAATTTGGAGAACTTCTGCAAGTCAAATTTTGAGTCAAGATGTAGCATGCTGATAGACTCCTGATAAAGATCACTGATGCAATTGGATGAAAATGTGCTTTGATGAAATATTAGTTTAAAGTGAAGCTTTTTTAGTTTTAATTACATTTCCCTCTGACCGTTTTTCTTTTGTTTATCGTTTTTTTTTTTTTTTGTTTGTTTTTGTTAAATTGCACAGGATAAATGCCCACATCAACGGTAAAATAAATAAATGACCAAAAACCTACCATATTAGCATGGATATTTGTATTTTTAGGAAGCACTACAAATCCTTGATTACAATTTTTACATGCAAGCAGGAAAGAAAGGTGCGTTTCTTACATTAGTTCACGATCCGCTTGTCCGTACATCCTTCTCCAGTTTTTATTTCTGCAAGGACTTTACATCGGGCGAGTACAGACATAACTGTAAGCATAGGAGTCTTTGCATGTTTCATAAAACACAGAAACACTTTGTGACAGCTGCTCCCTCAGTTTCATCTTTATGATGTTCTCTCTCACCTGTCACCCCTTTTATTTTCCCCTGACAGTAAATTAAGCTCTCAAAGTCACCTTCTACAGCATTCTGCTCCCATTTCATCATCACCTCTAATAATGCATCTCCGCGAATTTAGACAGTTTCAATGTGCTTTTTCTTATTTAAAATTCCTGTGGAATCTGTTAAGAAAAAATGTTTTTCACCTACTTTCCTTCTCAGCTGTCCATCACTACCGCCTGATTTTGCTGTTGTGGCTGAGAATCCAATACAATAGCAATGTTCTTACATTATACTAAATAGTAAAAATACTTTTCAGGCTGCATCCACCTCTCCAAGGATAAACTTCAGCTATGACCGCCTCACAACCTTCAGTTTGCAGATATTGTGTGAAAAAATAGTCAATACTTCATACCAAACATACAAGGTTATAAGTTCCAACTTTTAGAAACCTTATAGAAGTCTAAGTGCCTGTCTATTGGCGAAACAGTGTGGTACAAATAAAACTTTTTCTTAATTCCTGAAGACCAACACTGACCTTAACTAAGTGAGGTCTGCAGTTATTTAAATGTTCTTGGTCAGTCACTAATCTACTCTTGGATTTACTTGGGTCACCATTATTCAACGTTTCCATCTAAATAACGGCCCTTATAGTGGTTTGCTTGTGCTCCATAATCTATATAGGTTAAATTAGGGAACACCAGACAAAAATGGAAGAAACCTACATTGCTTTTGCCCATATGTGACCTTTTTAATATGACAGTATTTACAGCACAATTATTTTTTTTTTCCTAATTAGATCCAGATTTTTTTTTTTTTTT